CCAGTGCCGAAGGCCGGCCCCGCCGACCGCTGCCCCCACGGCCACCCTCCCGATGGCCTCGTTCTTGCCCAGCTTGTCGTAGTCCAGCACGGTCAGCTCCACCTGCACCTTCTGGGGTGGGGAGAAGGGAAAGAGGAGACAGTGAGAGGGGCAGGAATAGGATGTTGGGGGACCAGCTAGAATTTTAAGAAATACTAATCCTGCCCTGTTAATCGTGACTGCTTTGTTCTGGTTAAAGAAGGCGCATCCTCACCTGGCTGGGAGGTGCACAGGGGACCTGGGAGCTCACCGGGGGAGGCAGCCCATCCTCCCTATCAGGGAGCTGCCTATTAGCATGGAAGATGGACAACCTTGTTGCAGAAACCAGAATCGCCAGCCCTTTGAAGCCCCCCAGCCCTCTGCTTACCTGTGAACTGCCCCTTTGGCACACCCTTTGGCTACTTCCCCATGTAACCTTCGTCCTCCCACCCAATATAGGCAGCCGCCTTACGGAGGGGGCAGAGCAGATGTCTGTGGCTGACCTGCTGCTCTCCCTGCTGCCGGCGGGACTGGAAACGCTCATAATGATTCACCCCTGTCTCTGCTGAATTGGCTCAAGTGGTGATAGGCAGCCCGGACCCATTGTTTGTCCGGTTACAACAGGAGAGTCAGGGTTGGGGGCACCAGGAGGGACTCCCTCAAAGGGTCCTGGGGTCCTTGTTAGGGCCCTGGGTTAAAACCCACCTGGAGCCCTAGCTGGCGTGGCTCAGTGGATAGAGCGCCAGCTTGCGGACTAAAAAGTCCCAGGTTCGATTCCGGTCAAGGGCACATGCCTGGGTTGCAGGCTGGATCCCCAGTGTGGGGCGTGCAGGAGGCAGCCGATCCATGATTCTCTCTCATCAGTGATGTTTCCATCTCTCTCTCCCTCTCCCTTCCCTTCTGTAATAAATAAAAATATTTAAAAAAAAAAAAACCCCACCAGGAGCTCAGGCTGAGGGGAGGGGGATGGGATGTGAGTGGGAGAGCCCTGCGGTTGGACGGGGGCTCTACAGGCCTCGTTGCTGAGGGATTGTTAGGGGCCTCCTTAGGGAGCTGCCTCCTAAGGGGTGGCAAACCTCCAGGAGTCTTAAATATATACATTTTTAAAAATTATTATTTCAGAGAGGAAGGAAGAGGGAGAAAGGATAGAAACATCAATGACGAGAGAGAATCATTGATCGGCTGCCTCCTGCACGCCCCACACTGGGAATCAAGGCCATAACCTGGGCATGTGCCCTGACAGGGAATTGAACCGTGACCTCCTGGTTCACAGGTCGATGCTCAGCCACTGAGCCACGCAGGCCCGGCCACCTCCAGGACTCTTAAGTGAGTGGAGGGACCTGTCTCTAAAGCAGTGGTTCTCAACCTTCTGGCCCTTTAAATACAGTTCCTCATGTTGTGACCCAACCATAGAATTATTTTCGTTGCTACTTCATAACTGTCATGTTGCTACTGTTATGAATCGTCATGTAAATATCTGATATGCAGGATGGTCTTAGGCGACCCCTGTGAAAGGGTCGTTCGACCGCCAAAGGGATCGCGACCCACAGGTTGAGAACCGCTGCTAAAGGGTGGTGGAGAAATCTTTTTCTCAGTAACCTTGGCTCCTGAGGGGGCGGGGCAACCCGCTGCTCCTAGGAGGAAACTGGGGACACAACCTGGGACCCCCTGGTCTCTGGAGGTAGCTAAGGAGCCTCCCTTCCTCTAGCAGCGGGGTTCCTAAGGGCCTGGGCTGCTCTGCGGGGGCCCAGGCAGGCCTCGCTCACCTGGACCAGGTCACAGGGCACCTCGAAGCTGAAGGCCTCGTTGTAATAGGGGTTCAGCGTGTTCTTCTTGATGGTCGTCTTCTTTTTCCGCATCTTCTTGCCGCCCTGCAGCAGGTGAACTTTGACGTACGGATCTGGGGGGAGAGAGGAGGCGTCTCAGGGCCCCGGCCCCCTGCTTAGTGGAGGGATCGGATTGAGGGGGACGCACGAGACCGCTTTGGAACAACACAGAACTGCCCCGTGCACCCCTCAGGTCCCCTCTGACTGTGCCCAGATCGAATCTGTATCCTCCCAAGGCAGCCGGGACCTCCCTCTCCCCCAGGAGACGCCCCGGGGCCCAGAAACTCTCACCCTCAGCCAGGGGGCCCCCTCGTGCACCGCCACCCCCGTGGCCTTGCTTCCCACACACCTGACAGCCCTCCCACGTCCATCTTCTTCAGGTTTTTAGCCTCCAGCACGATGACGGTGAGCTTCCCGGCAGTGGGGACGTAGCGGAGGGAGAAGCAGATATCCCCCAGCTTCTCCTGCTAAAGGCCGGAGAGGGACGGGTCACCGGAGCCCCCCCTGCACATCCGCCCCCCCCTGCGACCACTCTCCCCGCTCCCATCCCTCCCGCCCGCCTGGGAATGGAAAGGTCCAGAGTTAACGCCGGGAGGCAGCCCTCTGCTGCAGGTGCAAAGGCTGGAGCCTGGGTCTGGATGGAGCCTGTGAGCTGATTGGTCCTGGAGGTCTGTGATCTGATTGGCCCGAGAGGCCTGAGATCTGATTGGCCCTGGAGGTCTGAGATCTGATTGGCCCTGGAGGTCTGTGATCTGATTGGTCCGGGGCTGTGGTGGGCGTGGCCACGCGCGCTCACCTCCTCCTTCGGAGCTGCCTGCAGCTCCCGCCAGGCCAGCACGGGTCTCCCCAAGTCCACGGAGCTCATGGGGACCCGCACCTCCCCGATAGCATCGTTGCGGGAGAAGCGGTCGAAGTCGTACACCGCCATGACCAGGACCCTGCCTCCCAGCTCCACGTAGGGGACCTGGGTGGGGGGCGAGCGCAGAGAGAGCACGAAGGCAGATCAGGGTGGGAAGCGACAAGTGGGGCAGTGAGGGGCGCAGGGAACAGGTGAGGGGGGTCCATGGAACCCCAAAGGGACAACCCAGGGGCCAGTGGAATGAATAGTCTCCAGGGCTGTTAGCGGCCAGCTGAGCTGTGGCTGCCTCCAGAAAAAGCTGAAGGAGGCGGCCAGCGTGGCTCAGTGGTGGAGCATCTATCTATGAACCAGAAGGGCACGGTTCGATTCCCTGTCAGGGCACATGCCCAGGTTTTGGGTTCGATTCCCCGTGTGGGACGTGCAGGAGGCACCGATCAATGATTCTCTCTCATCGTTGATGTTTCTATCTCTCCCTTCCTCTCTGACACCAATAAAAATGTTTTGTTTTTGTGTGTTTTTTAGAAAACAACAAAAAACTTTACCTGCTTACTGATGCTGTATCTAAGGGTTTTTAAAAAAATATATTTCATTGATTTTTTTACAGAGAGGAGGGGAGAGGAAGAGAGAGTTAGAAACATGGATGAGAGAGAAACATCGATCAGCTGCCTCCTGCACGCCCCCCACTGGGGATGTGCCTGCAACCAAGGTACATGCCCTTGACCGGAATCGAACCTGGCCGGTCAGGGCAACAATTATGTTTTTAAGGAAAGAAAAAGTTGAAGGGGTTGGTCCCCAATGTTCCAGGGACTGGGGGCAGGCTGCCCAGGGTGGGGCCCTGAGGCCTGGTGCTCACCTTGAAGGCGAAGGTCTCCCCAAAGTGTGGGTTCAGCGTCTGCCGGTGCACCTTGGTCTCATGCCGCCTCCGCTTGTCTGGCAGCAGGTAAACCCGCACGTAGGGGTCCGAAGAACCGCCCAGATCCAAGGCCGCCAACCCCTCGGCTTGCAGGATGCCCACCAGCAGCTGTACAGGGAGGAGGATCCCTGGTCTGAGCTGCCCTTCTGCACCCTCCTGGGTCCCTCCTCTCCAAAGCCTCCCCCTCTTCCACACCCACCTGGCCACTCTGGAAATCGTAATCCAGGGAGTACTGCAGTCGTCCCAGCTCGTGCTTCTCCACCACCTGCTGCCCTGGCCCGGATAGTGCCGGCTCCAGCTCCTCCACTTCCGGTTGCACCTTGGGGAGCCAGGGGCAAGGGCGGGTAAACTCTCCCCCTGAGGGTGTCATCCTCCAGGCCCACAAGCCAAGGGAGACTCAGACATCTCTAGGTTATACCTGAGCACTTGGGGACTAAGCAGCCTCGGTGTTTGATTAGTGATGTCTGCCACTGGGGAGGGAATAGCCATAGACAGCACAGGGTGTAGTGTTTTTCTCGGTGTTTGATCGGTGATGTCTGCCACTGGGGAGGGAATAGCCATAGCAACACATGGGTGTAGTGTATTTTCGGTGTTTGATCGGTGATGTCTGCCACTGGGGAGGGAATAGCCATAGCAACACATGGGTTAGTGTATTTTTTGGTGTTTGATTGGTGATGTCTGCCACTGGGGAGGGACTAGCCATAGCAACACATGGGTGTAGTGTATTTTGGTGTTTGATTAGTGATGTCTGCTGTGGTTGGGGCTAGAGTCTAATGGGTGCCTATTTCACCACTGTCTAGTCCAGTGATGGCAAACCTTTTGAGCTCGGCGTGTCAGCATTTTGAAAAACCCTAACTTAACTCTGGTGCCGTGTCACATGTAGAAATTTTTTGATATTTGCAACCATAGTAAAACAAAGATTTATATTTTTGATATTTATTTTATATATTTAAATGCCATTTAACAAAGAAAAATCAACCAAAAAAATGAGTTTGCGTGTCACCTTTGACACGCGTGTCATAGGTTCGCCATCACTGGGCTAGACAGTGGTGAAATAGGCACCCATGGTAGCCTAGAAAAACAAGTGTAATAGGATTTCCCTGACTTCAGGAAGGAGGCAGGAGATCTTATTTCACGTGGATGTATTGGGGTTGTGCAAATTGCTACGTTGTTTAGACAAAGGCAAACTATGGGGGCGAAAATGGCGTATTTACTGTGTATTTGCCCTTCTAAACTAGAACAGCAAAGTCAGAAGACTTCTCCTTAACCCAGGCCACCCATTTTCAACATCCGACGTGAAGCAGAATTGCCCTGATTGGGGTGGCAGAATGCGCCTTCACTTCAGAGATTCTGACTCAGCGGGTTTGGTGCGAGATCCAGAATTTGCCTTTCAACGACACGGGAGGTGATTCTGACACAATGGTCTCTGGAAGTCATTGGCTTAAGGGATAGGGATGGGAACTGGATGCCAGAACCCTCAAGGGCATCACTATGGGTAAGAATTGTGGCCGCTACTTTTGAGAAGAGAAGAGGGGGAAATATGAGTTATGGACCATGCACTTGAGGCTCAGAGAGGGACAGAGGATTCCCCAAGGCCACACAGCTGGTTGGAAACGCCGGGCTCTCTGGCTCCCAGGTGAGCATCATTGCATGTTGCATCCAGAGACCTGATGCTCAAGTCCTCGCACCTGTAGCCTTGCATTTCCCACGCCAATTGCTTCTTCCAACTCAGGGCTCCTTCCTCCTCCCTGGGCTCCATCCCCCATGTCTGTCCTCCACACGGATTCCTAACATCTAACTGGCCCTGCCCCTGTCCTTCTCAAAGCTCCCATGGCTCCCAATCACCCTCATTCTGTGGACACTGCTGTCTCTCCAGCCGCCTCACTCTAGAGCAGTGGTTCTCAACCTTCCTAATGCCGTGACCCTTTAATACAGTTCCTCATGTTGTGGTGACCCCCAATTTCATGGTTACAAATTGAACATAATTAAAGCATAGTGATTCATCACAAAAACAATATGGAATTATATATGCGTTTTCCGATGGTCTTAGGCGACCCCTGTGAAAGGGTCGTTCGCCCCCCAAAGGGGTCGCGACCCACAGGTTGAGAACCGCTGCTCGAGAGCACAGTACACACTCTGCCCATTGTGAAAGTGACTCATTGTTCCCCAAATACCCCCGAGAACCTGGATTCCAGGCCCCAGCATATGCTCCTTGGGCTAGAATGTCCTTCCCTCTGCTCTCAGTTAACTCTGCGGGTCCCCTGGGTCTCAGCACAGAAGTCACCTCCTCTGGGAAGCCTTCAGGGACCTTCTAGGCTGTGAGGTGTTTCCATACGCCTCGTGCTGCCTCTGATGGGGCACATACCGCCTTGCATTGTGAGTATGTGAGTGTCTGACTTCCCCGCCAAACCGAAAGGTTCTTGCGACCAGTGACTACTGGGTCCGGCCCATCCCCAGTCCCCCAGGGTCCGGTTTGGGGCCAGACCCACCGAGGAGATGGGCAAACAAGGTAGGCAGAGGAGGGAAGGGGCAGGGCCACACCTTGTTTATGTAACTGCGGCCCAGCTCCTTCACTTCCTGAAGGTGGACCTGGGCTTGGGCCTGGCTCTTCTTGCCCATCCGCCTCCGACAACGCTTCCGGTACAGACAGAAACAGCAGCTGAAGACCAGGAGGCCTGAGACCAGCACGACTGTGGCCAGGGCCCAGGGGGGCACTGCGAGGACAAGGACACAGAGACACTGAGGCCCCGGGACGTCGGTGTGATCTCACCTATGAAGCCATCTGATGCCCTAACCCAGCCTGACACCGTCTGATTTTTTTTTTTCCCATCACTTCCACCCCCCATTCTAATGTTTCTGCTCAACTCCTGTTGCTTTTGGAAGCCTGAACCCCTCCCCGAGCCTGTTTCCCTATCTTTAAAAAGGGACAGCTCAGCGGCTGTGGCTCAGTGGTAGAGCGTGAACCAGGAGGTCAGGGTTCAATTCTGGGTCAGGCACATGCCCCAGTTGTGGGCTAGATCCCGAGTAGGGGGCGTGCAGGAGGCAGCCCATCCATGATTCTCTCATCATTGATGCTTCTCTCTCTCTCTCCCTCTCCCTTCCTCTTTGAAATCAATAAAAATATTTTTTTTCTTTCTTCTTTTTTTTCAATAAAAATATTTTTAAAAAAGAAAGAAAAAATAAAAGAGGGACAGGTGGACCCTCTAATTCACCAATGCAAGAGCCCGTTCCATTCCACGCCCCCTTGGTCTGGTTCTAGTGGTGGGTTTTTTTTGTTTTGGTTTTTCTGTTGTGTCCCTCTTTGTATGTTTGTTTTATTTATTTATTTATTTATTTTTGGTAGCAAACCTGTTCTTTTTCCATTTCATTTAGATTCCAGCCCAGGATTCCGACCAGGATCCCATCCGGATTTGCCACCGGCCAAACACACCCGTCCGAATCCCGCCCCAGTAAATCCTGGCCCGACTTTCCCTCCGCTCCAACCCCGGATCCGGCTCACCAGGGCCGTGGCTGATGCGACTTGAGTCCGGAGGCGTGTCGGACGCTGGAGGCCCCGGGGTTGGGGGCTCCGGAAACATGGCGGCGGGGTCCTACGGTCCTTTCTGCGGAGGCACCCAAGCGCCCTCGCCTCCCACGCCCACCCGTGCAACCATTGAGTCCTCCGAACAACAAAGAACTACAACTCCCATTGGCACCCTGGGCGACCGGCCGCACGGGAGTCGGCCCGCCGCCGCAAGGCATGTTGGGGGTTGTAGTTTCAGTCTCCCCGAGAAGGAGGGAGTGCGCAGGGGGTGCGTTCCAGGACTTAGTTCCATCCCAAAGGGACGCCTCCTCGGTCCCAGGTCCCCGCAGGAATCCCGCTGACTTGTCCCCTTTCTTTGCGCCTTTCCAGGACCTGAATCGGAAGCGGGCGAAGGCGAGCGTGGGAACCAGCGCACCCAGTTGCCCAGAGCAACGCCTGGCTCCGCTGGGGCCGGGGTGGGAGTCACTCTGGTTGCCCCGGCAACGGCCTGTTGCCACGACAACGGGCGGGGCACCACTGACTAAAGACCTGTCTCTGGGGGGTTTCGGGGGGAGGCCCGCTGACTCAGTTCTCTGTTGGGCCTGGAACCCCAGACCTGGATCCCGGGACCAGCGAAGGTGGGAGGGACGGCCTGGCCCGTCGGTCCAGGCACCCACAGCTGGCCCCTCCTCCACATCTGGCCATGAAGGCGGAGACTCAGTCTCTCTTCCTCTCCCACTCTTCCGGG